TACTCCTCCTCGCTTCCTAAGTTGGATGGAAGAGAGTCCCTGCAGGGTTGGGGGGGGGGGGGGGGGGTAAAAGAGGGGGGGGGGGGGGGGGGGGGGTGAAATTAAGATGGAAGGAGAGGGGCAGATGCTATTGCTAAGTGTATGGTCAGATGAATGGGAAAGATTTTTACGTCTGAGTGAATTGTTACACATTCATTCACATGTGCATTTGTTTTCTTTCTTTTCATGTCTAAAGTCAGTGCAGTTATAGAAAGGTAGCCATAGCATAAGATGTCACACTGAGAGTACAGTATGTTTGGTGAATGACTCTCAGCTACTCTCAGCGTTAATGCCATTCTTGAATKGAATGCAAAATTTAAACAGTCGTACATGTGTGGATTCAAGGATTACTTTCTGTAAGTTACATTTAAAACCATCCAGTGGTTCATAGACATTTTTCAAAAGCTGAATCTCATGCAGTGTGTTAGCACTGAGCCATCAGCCTTAGTTATTATCAGAGGTGTCAAAAGTATTCACATTCATTACTTAAGTAGAAGWATGGATACTGGGGCTTAAAAATACTTTTTTGGAAGTAGAAGTCAAGCTTAAACTCAAGTAAAAGTATAAAAGTACTGGTTTTAAAACTGCTTAAAATATAAAATTAAAAGTCACGAACACTTAAAAAGAAAGCCCCCACCCCCACCCCCGCCAAATTTTTTTTCTTCTAAAGTCAGTGATGAGTATAATGTTAAATTAAAATGTTAATGTTGAAAAATTTGGAATTAACTGACTAGTCTAGTTGTTTCAGCCACGATCATCTTCATTCTAGGCTACATGCATCTGTGTGTCCTGCTGGAATGTGATGGGATTTGTGTCATACAGGAGTGATGGAGTGCTTTCAATCCAATAAGGTGTCAGAATGGTATTTATTTACACTTCTCATCCAACCACAATCAAATTCACTCTATCCAAGAGCTCCATGTATCTGGATAGATTTCTATTTTTTTTTCTGAACAATGAAAAGATGGAATAAAAACAAGTCAAACTGAAATAGAAATGAAAGACTTTTTTGCATTTTTAAAAAGTAAGGAGTAGAAAGTACAGATAATTGAATTAAAATGTAAGGAGTAGAAGCAAAAAGTAGACTGAAAAATAATTACTCCACTAAAGTATAAATAACCAAAATATCTACTTTGTAAAGTAAAGTAACAAAGTATTTGTACTTATTTGACACCTATGGTTATTATGACCCCCCGTTCTTTGGTTATAATTTCTAAAATTGACTGAATGTATCAAATTTTATGTTTACTGAGATGATTTAGCTTTGGCAGCCATCTTGACTTGAGTTTACTCTAAAGGTTAGGAGTCCGTCCAGCAACAGGCATTCGAAACATGAGCAAGACCAGATAATATTGGTTTTTAATGAAAAACGCATTAGATTTTCACATATTTATTCTATGCCTTTTCATAACAATGTTTGTAAAATTACAGAAATTTATAATTTTAACAACAAAAATATACAATTTTTCTTTTTTCAACTTTTTTACTAGTAACAATGAACTAGCCCATAATTAGCTCTTACACACAGCTCTCCAATCTCTTTTGGCAGTGGGCGACAAAAAGTATTAATCACATCAGTGAAGCCTTCCTTTTGTGACTTAATTTTTTTTATCATGGCATTCAACTGCAGTTGCACTGATATTTAATGACTAACTCTAAAGCGGAGTTCAGTTCGGGTCAAGCTCAGCATTTAACCATGAACAGTGATTACTGCTTCACTCCCAGTGATGAGCGTAATCTCATCCAGTCTTCAGGCTGATCATCTCCTGAAAGCTACTAAACCACTCATCACTATCCAATGCCAACTGGGCATATGTTTCCTTTGATTAGATTGGCCAAAGAGGATTACACGCTGCCTAAGAGTAGATCTGGTAGAGTTCAGTGAAATGCTATTTATTAGACTGTCCAGGGACATAAAACGGATCCCACACAAGACATTTATGGAGTTGAAGGGGCTTTTATATCTTTATTAATAAACAAATRTGTTTTGAAAGTAAAATCATCAACAGTTTGCTTTTGGCTAGTACAAAATGTATGTCTGAAAATGAAGCTTAGTATTATAGTCTAAAATGAATTTCACAATATTTTGGTGTTGTATTCAAATGCTTAATAATACACTATGTTGTAATTTTTTTTAATTTAATTATTTTTAAATACCCTTTCAGTGGAAAAGGGACCGGAGGTCGTGTTGCTATTCAGGGTGCTGGAAAAGAGAGACCATCCGATCGTTGGTCAAGCCTCAGATTCAGGATGAACAACGTTGGATCTGTTCTGACCACGGAACACTGGACCAGCTTTTTACCCTTGCTAGGGTCCTCGAGGGGGCATGGGAGTTTGCCCAACCAGGCTACATGAATTTTATGGATTTGGAGAAGGCACTCGACCCTATTACACCGTAGAGTTTGAAGCTGTTATATTTCGCCTGGGCGCTTTGTTAATGGGAACTGAAATCCCAGGCAAATCACTCTTCTTTCATTCCCTCCTGAGGGTCGTTAGAGTTTTTATATAAGTCTAATTCACAAGCAAGATGATTTGGTCACATGCATGCATAAAGGTAAACTTAAGTCATTCAGCCCTAATGCTTCAAGTTTTGGAAAGCTTGCTGCAGCTTTTCACTCTTCTTGCCCAATATTCAATAAAAAAAACTATATCTGTGTACACTA